GAGAGGTGACATGCACACAAAATTAATTCAGCTGCTCAGCTAGTGCTTCCCCCACAATATAAAAACAACAGGTATTTCTCCTTTGCATCCTTAGTTATAATACATTCAATTTTATATTTTAGTAATTATTTGAATAATGTCTTCCTCCCCTGCTGAACTCTTTCTTCCCCATTCTCAAAGCTTTTCTGATTTCACTGTAACTCAGGAATGTCCATTTCTACCTCCTAATTCCAGTCCTATATCCCACCTTCCAGGGTTCTTGGTCCCACCTCTTGCTTCCCCAGATCCTTCAGTTTTTTCTCACACTATCTACCCTACTATTCTCATTTGCAGTTCCAAACTTTATTTTCCTTTATCCATGTTATTTTATTTTTCCTCAAAGCTTTTTCCCCCCAAGAAATTCTATTACTATTTACTATCCATATTACCTTCCTGTGTGTGTGTGTGTGTGTGTGTGTGTGTGTGTGGTACTGGTGGTTGAATCAGGGGTGCTCTACTACTGAGCTATATCCCCAATCTTTTTTCTTTTCTTTCTTTGAGACAGGATCTCACTAAGCTGACCAGACTAGCCTTGAACTTGCAATTCTGCCTCTTGAGTAGCTGAGATTACAGGCATGCACCACGATGCCAAGCTATTCCTTATTTTTATTCTTAACCTCCAGTTCCATTTTTTCCAATTATCTCTATTAAGGATAATATATTATTTATTCAATTCATGTACAATGGAATTCTTATGGTTGCCAAAATTTCCATAGGCTAAAATAGGGATGGGTCACTGAATTAATCTATTTATCCAGATTCTCAAGATATATGAAAGCATATGGTAACTAAGACAACATCAAATTTTAAGCAAAAAATCCAATACGTAAACAAAGAAAAACAGACCTTTTCAGAAGGACATTCAGAACTCTGCCTTCTTAGCATTTCCTTTTTCCCAAAGCAGACCCCAAGTCCCCCAGGGGTCAACTATACACTACACTATTATCTAACTGTTAAACCCTCCGGAGATACAAATGCAGCCTGTGATGAATGAGCATAATTAACATAATATTTTAGATTATTTTCTAAAGGACATGTAAAATAAKCTACTTAGTATACTGCTTTAAAAAAATATAACTAATCTTTCCAAAGTGCTTTTAAGTATATCACCTTCACCCACAAGGTTTTCTTGGGTTTTTTTTTCCTCTTTTAATGCATTTTAAACTCAAATAGTTTTTATTTATTCTTYCTGTTTTCTTTTTTTAATTTTTATTTTATTTTGCTACTAGGAATAGAAACTATTTCCTCCTTGATAAAAAAAAAATTTCAAATAATTTCCCACTTTTATCACTTAACCCAAAATTCTATATATGTGAATCTTTTAATCCTTCCTCATATTAATCCTTCAAACACTTTTTCATTCATGTTAAAAGGCTTACTTTGTAAGCACAAAATGATGACAATACTAAACCAGACTGACTAAAACATATTTCTCTTTGAGTCTCCTATTTCTCTGTTCTATCTCTTCTCTAAATCCACATTGCAACTGATCAATACATCTTTTAAACCTGTTTTAATTCAAAGGTTCCTCCTCCATTTTTATTTTAATCTTACAATTTATTTGTTAAAGAAACCAGGTTGTGGGCAGAGGGTTAGCAAGGATGGTGGAATGTGATGGACATTATTATCCAAAGTACATGTATGAAGACACAAATATATGTGAACACACTTTATATACAACCAGATATATGAAAAATTGTGTGTATATGTGTAATAAGAATTGAAATGCATTCCGCTGTCATTTATTTTTTAAAAATCCATTAAAATTTTTTTTAAAAGAAAAAAATAAAAAAGAAACCAGGTTGTTTATTCTATAATTTCCGGTAGTTCAGATTTTGTTAACTGCATCCCTCTAGAATAATTTAACTGCAACCCTCTAAAATAGTTTAACACATTCCTTTCTATATATATGTTGTAAACTGGTAGTTGGTAGACAGCTTAATCACATTCATGTTTGGTTGTTCTTACATCGGGATACTCCAATGATGTTGTTTTTGTTTGATTCTAGCAGTCTTTGATGTTTAATATTGAGATTCATTAGATAAGAGTTTGTAATTTGGAGATAATCCAACATTCCTTCTTCATTTATTACTCAGTGGCATACACCTGTAATTCCACACACCTGTAACCCCACCAGCTTGGGACACTGAGGCAAGAGGATCACAAGTAAAAAGCCAGCCTCAGCAAAAACAAGACACTAAGTGAGATGAGACCCTGTCTCTAAATAAAATACAAAATAGGGCTGGGGACATAGCTCGGTGGTCAAGCACCCCTGAGTTCAATCCCTGGTACCCCCACACCCCCCCAAAACTTTTTCCATACAGTTTTAAAATAAAGTTGCTTCTCCAACATTCTCCAATGGTAATCAATTAGTTCCTTTTCATCTCTTTTTATTATAATTATTAACACATGTTAGTTATAAAAATAATGGATTTCATTATGAAAATTTCATACATGTGTATAACCATGGAACATACTATGATTGTATGTACCCTCCCTGTTGCCTTCTCTTACCCTCTCTACCTCCTCCCCAGGTCTCCTTCCCCTTCCCTAATAGTTCCACTTCTACTTTCATATCATCTTTTTTTTTTTATTATTCTAGATTCCACATGAGAGAAAACATACAATGCTTGTCTTTCTGAGTCTGGTTTATTTCACTTAAAATGATGACCTCCAGTTCCATTCATTTTCCTACAAATGAAATAATTTTGTTCTTCTTCAAGAACAAATACTCCATTGTGTAAATAAATATGCCACAACTTCCTTTATCCATTCATCTGTTGATGAGCACCTAGGCTGATTTCATAGCTTGGTTATGATAAACAGTGCTGTAATAAACATAGGTATTCAGGTATCTGTCTTATGGTTGGTTTTGTTTCCTTCAGGTATATACCCAGTAGTGGTAAAACTAGATCATATGATAGTTCTCATTTTAGTTTTTTAAGAAACTTACATGCTCTTATCGATAGTGGTTTTATTAATTTAGATTCCTACCAACAGTGTGTAAGGGTTCCTTTTGCCCACATTCCCCACTAGCATTTGTAATTGTTTTCTTGATAACAGATATTCTGACTGGGTGAGACAGACTCTCAATGTAGTTTTTATTTGCATTTCCTTTATGGCTAGAGATGTTAAGCATTTTTCATATATTTATAGGCCATTTGTACTCTTGAGAAATGAATTACTGTTCTTTTGGTATGAATATTTTGAATTCTTTATATATTCTGGATATAAATCCTCCTTCTGATGAATAGCTGGCAGATTTTCCTCCCATTGTGCAATCTTTCCCTTCACTGTGCTCATTGCTTCTTTTGCTATGTAGAAGCTTTTTAATTTTATCTCTTAATATAATTATAGATGCATGGATTTAAATATTTCATGTTTTGATTCACTGACATTATTATTCTTATTGATGCTCAATTTGTTTCATCTTTGGCCAGTACAGGCTCTTCATGTTGATTCCTAAATCTTTTAGAGATCAAATAGTCCGTTATAGATTCCTTGCTATCTGACAATGTTTCAAACTCAAAAATAAATGCAGAATGTTTTCTCTGATATATGAAGGCTGATTCATAGAGGGGTAGGGAGTGGGAGCATAGGAGAAATAGACGAACTCTAGATAGGGCAGAGGGGTGGGAGAGAAATGGAGGGGACAGGGGGTTAGCAAAGATGGTGAAATGTGATAGACATCACTATCCAAAGTACATGTATGAAGACACGAATTGGTGTCAACATATTTTATATACAACCAGAGATATGAAAAATTGTGCTGTATATATGTGTAATAATAATTGTAATGCATTCCACTGTTATTTATTTTTTTAAAAATCAATTAAAAATTTTTAAAAAAGAAAAAAAACCTCAACTTAAAAATTTCCTGCTCCTTGGAGATGTAGTTCAGAGGATGAGCATGTGTGAGGCCCTAGAGTTGACCCCTAGGGACCACCCCTACCCCCAAAAAAAGAAAAACACCTGCTCCAGAACCAGATTCAGCCATTTCTCAAGGAATCTTCATTCCTTTTATTAATAAATAGCCTTTGGATTTCACAACCTGGGAGTAACACCTGTCAGTTCACTCATTTATCAAACATTTTCTGGAAAGTTAGTATGTACCAGTCACTGGATTTGGCTTTGAAAATAGAAAGATATAACACAAACCCAAAGAGCTGACAGATCAGTGGCATATATTCACACAGAACAGATAACCAGGAAATATATTGCAAGTATTAAGCTCTAGGCAAAATAATTCATTTGGAATTTATCTGGCCATGTCCACTTTGATCTGAATAGTACTCTTTATAAAGAAATAAAAGAGAGATCTGATTCAGAGTGACATGGTTAGAAAGAGTCAGAACTCTATAGTATACCTTGACTAAGAGAACAGAATTGGGGTGGGGATATAGCTCAGTGTTAAGATTGTTTGCTTAGGCAAGTGCAAGGCCGTGGGTTCAATTCCCAGCACTACACACACATACACACATGCACGCACACACATACATACATGCACACTCATGCACAGAAGAAAGCATGCAAGAGAACAGAACTACATCAATCTCCAAATGCATAAGCATCCCAGCTCAGACATATCCATTCACCAACACTTTACTTCCAACTAGAAATTACTTATAAGGCAAATTATCTATTTTCTTTTTCCTTTTTAGTTTTGCATCTTCCTCATTTTTTACTTAAATTCTTCCCTGTTTCTTTACCTTCTTTCTTACCAACTTTCAAAACACAAGACAGCTTACCCAGGAACCCCACTTACCCCAGTAAGAAAGAGATAAAAACAAAAAACTGTCCTGTGTCAATTTTAAAAGGAAAACTCTTACCAAAAAGTAATCTAACATTCTCTGTTCCAAAAAAAAAAAAAAACAGGTAAATATTAACCTATTTATTAATGTTCCACATTGTATATGTTATTAAAATAAAGCATTATAATGGAAAATAATTAAACATCTTACCTTTCAGCACTAAATGCTGATTCTGTGTCTATGTACACAACAGCTCCTTCTAATCCTCCCATACTGGTGGGTAATGTAGCCAAAATACTCATCATTATGCAAAACTGAGTTTTTCCACAGCCTGGTGGCCCTGTAATCTAAAAAACAAATATTATTTGTATAAAGCCTATAAGTCAAAGAAAATCATTTTAGGAATTTGCTACAAAAATAATCCAACAACCTGGGAATAGTTAACCAGGACAGAATTAACCCCTAATACCCTAGAACATCCATTATATAAAATGAATTAACTTCTCCCCTATGCATCCAGATTGGTACTCTATGTAACATCCTTGGAAGAACTGTGAAAATGGTCACTCAAATCATCCTCTGTGTTTTGTAGTTCAGATAAAAAATTTTAATGAGAAAGGTATTTAGGTCATTGGGGCACTGCCTTAGAAGGGATTAATGTTGTTTTTGTGGAGAAGTAAGTTCTTATAAGAGGAGGTTCTTATTAATCAAGCCTTCCCCATAAACTTTACTCCTGCCGCACAAAGCCATTTCCCTTCCTGCTTCTCCACCCTATTGTGATGCAGCCTGTGGGGTGAGTTTCATCACTGTTAGGGTTTGAATATAAGGTATTGCCCAAAAGCTTATGTAGACAATGCAGGAATGTTCAAAATGTTCAGAAGTGAAATTAGATTATGATCTGAGAGCTGTAACTTAATCAGTGGATGAATCAATTTGATTGAGCAATCCTTTGAAAGAACTTTCACTGGATGGTAACTACAGGCAAAAGGGTATAGGTGGAGAAGTAGGTCACTGGGGGTTTATATTTTGTCCCTTGCTCCTAGCTCACTTTCTCTTTGCTTCCCAGCTACCATGAGCTGARAACTTTCCTCCACCATGCCCTTCTACCATGATGTTCTTATCTCACCTCAGGTCCAGAGCAATGGAGTTGGCCAACCATGGACTGAGACCTCTGAAACCATGAGGCAGAATAAATGTTTCCTTCTCTAAATTGTTCTTGTCAGGTATTTTAGTCAGAGGGAGTAAAAGCTAACTGACAAAGCCACAATGAGAGCACATGCTGTTGGATCTTCTAGCAACCAGAATTCTGAGCCAAATACACCTCTACATAAAGAACCCAGCCCTCAGGTATTTTGCTATAACAACACTAAATAGCCTGACAGGTTTTTATTAAAAAATACAAGCAAAACTGATACTTCCTGAAGTACTCTTTGCACATCTGATATCAACTTCTGGGATGCTACAGATTGCATAAGTATAAAGCAACAGAAAACTTGGAAGACATTTTATAAGAAACATCCACATACCTACCACCTAGACTCTAAAAATACCATTTTTACTATACATGTAATATTCCTCTATCCATTATCAATTCATCTTAGGTTGTTTTGTTTTTTATGCACTTCAAAGTAAATCAAAAACAATATACTATTCCCCCACAATTCAGCATGCACATCATTAAGTAGAATTTAATGTTTAAGATTCTTTTTTTCCTTTTCAGATAAATTTTACAAAGAGTAGAATATAGAAACCTTAATTCTAACATTTGATGAACTTCAATAGATGCACATACACATATGCAATCTATGATTTGTGTTTGTTTTGTGATGCTGGGGATCAAATTAAGGTCCCTGCATATGCTAAGCAAGCACTCTACCACTGAGCTATACCCTCAGCTCCAGATGTGCAATCTAAATTCTTATCAAGTGAAAATATTACCACCCTAGGAAATTACCTCATATACATTATTTTATATTCAAGAAGTCTTTTATTTTTTGAGACTATATCTTTCCTGATAACATCTATACCTCAATAGCACACACAGAGACATGGGGGAAAAAAGTGGTTGTTTGTGTATTTTGTTATTGAAAAAGAATCTAACTAATATAATGATCTGGGCCATGTTAGAAACATCTGTACTTTAAATATATAGCATTCTCCCACATTGAGTAATTTAATTCCTGAAACTTCAAATCATCTACAATGACTACTCTATACATTCTGAAGTTATTTGCTTACCAAATAATCCATTTAAGTTGTTGCCATGTTGTTTTCTATATTAATCCTAAACTACTGAAATCAATGTGCCTCTGTCAACCCTTTATAACCCTGCCTTATAGACAAAACTGATAAATGATAGTCTGACACACAGATGATCAACCCATAGATTGTTAGTTAAAGCAAATTTCACTTGCTAGATTGAAATGCCAACAAAAGTTCTAATATTTTCTTCCCACAACCTAAGAGATCATCTTACATATCCTGCTTTGGAAACTAAAGATATCCAAGAACTTATCATGGACTCTTATTACTAGGAACAACATGGATCAAATTACTTATCAGATATCAGAGCAAGGGAATCTTCTGTCAGTAAAAGTTTAAACTGGATCTTCAAAATAAAGAAATACTTATACTTCAGAGTGAGAACTAATGGAGGAACTGAAAACTGGTCTTTCTACACATACTATCTATGTACTGGGTTTTAGATATGTTCTCAGATTAATGAGCCTGCAAAACCCTTTGTGATTTATTTTTTTAGTGGAAAGTTTAAATAAACCATCATTTTTAGTAGGATGATATATATATAAATGTTCAATGAAGCATCAAGTACCAYGAAAATATAAGGTATTAATGTACTATTCCATCTTTAAAGAAAATGTTTTTAATCTGAAAAGTTAAGAACAAGTGGCATTTTCCCTACTTCATTATTTTTATGCACTAATTCAGTATAGTCTTAGAGAAAGTAAAATATCATGTGAATAACATTAAAAGCTCTCTGGGTGTGTTTGGGCTTTATTTTGAGCTTGGATTAGAGCTTGGATAACAATACTTTATAACTAATTTCTAATGCTTTATATTCTCTTCACATATTTTTCCTCTCTTCTAGACTCAAAAAAAAAGTTTTATGCTATATGCAATCTTATGAGGTGCTGGAGCAAAATTTCATTATTTTTTCAGGTTTACTTAATGAGTCAAAATATCTCAACATTAATATTTTTTATTTTCAGACAATTTAGCCCTGAATTCTAGCACCCACACCACATCAAGTTGTGTTCACTTCTCAGCTTCAGCCCCAATGGTGGTTAGAAAGAGAAGTCACACCAAACCAGAAGAGTCTAAATTCTGTGCTTCTTGGAAACTCAGTGAACACAACATTTACATACAGGAAATACCAGTAAAATACAATTAGCTTCATATAGTTAGAGACAAAGTTTCATCACCCCTACATGAGAAATATAAAAGAACTAAAAGAATATCAGTAGTGTAGACATCTCAAGCATCAGCAAGGAAGAGAAAAATAATCATCTACAGAAAAGTCAAGTCTAATTGTACTAAGGAATAAATGAAGCCTTCTCATTCTAATCTTAGATTAAATGTGAGATGAACATGAAACCTGGACCCTTAAGGACATAGAAATCTCACCAAGCTAACTTTCTGCACACTCAAGATGGGGGCAWCTGCCAAGCCTATAGTTGGAGAAGAAAATGTAAGTACTGTCCGGCTGGGATCTGAGACAAGACAGCTTGTGGGAACTATCATGTTTTTAATGACTTCCCTTCCCAGCACCTACTTTTATATTCACTTTATAATTAYGTAGAAATATGATTAGATCTTAAGACCTACAGAATTTGTTTTAAAAATAACTTGACTCTAAATCCTCAAACTAAAAGCAAAAGCAAAGAATCTCAGACAGGCCAGGTTGTACTTAGCCTTGTGAAAGAAACCTTGAACTTAAATCTCTTTACACCAGCATGTTGAAGAATTTATACCTTATATTCTCTCCATCAATTCCATCTTATTTAATATTGATAACTGCTATTTTTTTAAGTAAAGGAGAAAGAGAAGGAGAGAACAGGGCAGGAAAAAAGCAGGAGACATGGAAATGACAAGCCCAAGCTACAGTTAAGAAAAATTAAATAGTTATTAAAAATCTTGGTATTCAAGTAAATGAAAAAATTGTTCACAAAACAGCATTTACTGAGTATTCGCCATATGAAAGATCCTAGAGAACATTATAGAGAAGGATGTTTATTTATAAGTTAGGGAGTAAAGAATTCAAAATAATACAACCATAAATACTAATAAATTCCTGTATTAGGACAGAAACCTAGGTATCTTGTTTTTCAAACCTCTGGGCAGGATAAATAAATCATGTCAGATTATATTGAAGGAATGCCCATCTGAAATCTTTCCCTCACTTTCCCATTGCCGTTGCTGCAAGTGAGGCAGACCTAGACCTGACTGCAGCTTAAACAAGACCCACCTTCAAAGATCTACAGATCCATTGGTGAGAAAAATAGGTGTTTGCCACAGTTTTCAGCAGATAAAATAGACTAAAGAAGCATTTAAGACTTATAATTCACTATTTCATGCACATCTGTCACATGCCTGGCCCTTGTAGGCAGTGGAGTTTATAACCCCTGCCTTATTATCTCCTGTGATTTATGTGGGCCTCAGATAATCCTGCCAATGTGGAAAAAAAATTAAACTATAATATGAATTGTTCCCAGAAAAAAAATTTCAGTACTGGGCTGAGGTTGTGGCTCAGTGGTAGAGTGTTTGCCTAGCACATTGAGGCCCTGGGTTCCAGTCTCAGCACCACATGTAAATAAATAAAGGTCTATTGACAACTAAATATAATATTATATATATATGTATGTGTGTGTGTGTGTGTATATATATATATATATATATATATATATATATAATTTTTTAATTAGGGTACTACACAGAACTCTGGCATCCTACCTCTACCTTTTTTAAGAGAGTAGGAGAATCAATCCCAAAGCAAATCTGTACCATTGAAGGAATGGTGCTGAAACTTAATATGCAGACATACCAAGATTCAGTGAAATTTACACAGATCAAAATTGATAATAAATAGAGAATTTAAGTTAAAATCAGAGAAAAGTAACAACAAAAGTAACAGCAGAATGTTTTCAGATATGTTCTTATTCCCTCAATCATTTCCAGACCTAGGTCTTGACCTTTCAACTAGAAACAAAGACCATACAACACAAAAGGACACCTCCATTGATGCTTCTATTAGTACTCTATTGCTCTGTAACAGATTACCACAAATTTATCAGCTTGAAACAACACCCATTTATTATCTCAAAGTTCTGTC